TCCTAAAAACAAAAGAGCAAGTGCGAAATCATATTAATGAGAAATCCGGCGTAGTAGAGCTGTCGGTGCAAACACTGGACACAAATTCCCAGAATGCAATGCAGTGTGACACTGAGATACAGCAGAGACTCGGCTCAGCTAGTTGGCAATCTACGTTATGACGAGCGCGACGGTGTAGGCGGTGATATTGGTGTGAAAGCTGATCTGTTTGAGCAGAGTGTACAGATGAGGAAGTGACAGAGCTGGACAGACTAAAGGACTAAAGTGCCGCTGCATTGCTCTCTTTTTAGGTAGAAATGAAACGGCAGCTATATCCCACTGCACTACTATCAGCAGGTAGAACGGCATTGTGGGTAACGTAGGAAAATGTTACCCAAAGTGAAAACAGTCCAGCATGTAAAACTAAACAAGTCAACTCAGTATTTCAGTACAAATAAATCTTAAACGCTGTTGAAGATCACACGTTAATTATGAAGATTGATTTCCGAGTAATTCAGTAAAGTAAGTATGCTTAAATTGAATTCTACAATGCTCTCTCTCCCTCTCTCTCTCTCTCTCTCTCTCTCTCTCCTCTCACACACAGCCGTGAACATGAGCAAGCTCCGGAGCTTCTGGCACAGTAACAAGGTTTTGATAGTGATGGGCTCGGGCCTCGGCTTCATTCACTGGGGTTGGTACTCGATCAAATCAAATCCGCTCCTGCGCCAGAACAGAGACGACTACACTCCCGAGCCAGGCATCGTGTCATACGTGTCTCCTGCGCCGCTGCCTCCTCTCCCCGAACCCACAAAGAAGAAGAAGAGAGAGACCAAGACGAAGGAATAACAGACTGAGTGCACCTGTAGGCTTCCTCTTCCTGCTCCTCTCACAAACACTATTAATGTTTTAGTATTAAATACTGAAGAGCATGGTGTGCGAGTTTCACAAACAGAACAGGATGAGGCAGCAGATAGATGCAGGAGCGGCTACGCTTTAAACTTCAGTAGAAAAACCAAGAAATCCATGTTTTCTGAATGTACAAATGAGACACCTCCAAAAAATGTTCATATTTTTGTTTCTTTCTCATTACGTTTTTCACAGCTTTCTCTTTTTTCGCAACTTTAATATTTTTAATTTTCACAACAGTCACATTTTTTTCACTTTTTAAACTTTTTTTTTTAAAGTTTTTATGTTTTGATCATCCTACACTAGATTATTGGTATCTTTTCTGAGATATTGCAATATATTTTTATAGTCAACATTTTTTCTGTAACATTTACAAACTCTGGAAAAATTCGTTGTTCAAAAATTTGTACTGATGACATTTTAATTGCTATTAAATAATTTTTTTGTAGATGTTAAATAGAACTAAATGATTTTTTTTCTTTTACATTTTTTAATGCAACACTACTGTTTCACTGGTAGTTGATTAGCAAAACTCTATATCACAATACATAAATATCGTAGAAATGTCAAGTATCATAATCTGATATTCTTGCCCAGCTGTAATCTACACATTTTAATGAATACACTTGAATAGATTTAAAAATGCAGTATAAAGTTTAAGGTCACTAATGTTAAGTCTAATACGTAATGAGGACACAAGGATACATCAATCCTTCTAGTTTTAATTCTAATGCTGTTCTGAGCTCTGAGTGTCCCTCAGTACCAAATTCTCATCCAGTACTGAGTTACTGTTCATGGTTCCCTGGTGGACTAGTGGCTAGCATGTGGTGTTCTCATTGCCGTGGTCCAGGTTCGGTTGGTCAGGGAAACAACCACAGCCACTGGACGGTTGTATGAGCCAGTACACTCTCAGTGCTGGTTCCAAAACTCAGAAAATGGGGAGGGTTGCATCTGACGTAAAACTTCAGATCAATCAAAACTTGTGCCACAATCAATATGCAGACGGGAGCAGCCGAAAGAGGGGAAAAAACTGACTTTCTTTTCATCTTCTGGACATAATATGTCATAATAATCCTGAATAATTGGTGACTTTCCAAAGTGCGCATGAACTATCCCACAATTTTTAAACATTTAGTGTTAAGTGGGCGGAGCCAATCCTGGGTAAAGGTTGTGTTAGTGTCACCGTAACCAATCACATGGCTGAGAGTCTCAGACAGAGAGTTGCCACGCCCACTCAGGCAACTCTCATACAGGTCTAATCAGCAAATTTATCTGGAATCTTGGTTTTTTTTTTCCCCATATCTCCCTCTCTCTCTCTCTCTCTCTCTCTCTGACTTCCCACAGCTGCTCATCGCCCTGTTGTGTCAGCACTGAGTGTGTACGGTGAGGATGAAGAACCCGAGCTGGCTGAGGAAGAACTGGTTCTGGGTTGCAGGCGGAGCTTTCCTCGGCCTCCATTTAGCCACGTGGGTCATGCAGACGACGATGAAGAAATCCGTCCGCACCGAACAGCAGCTCAAACACAAAGGACAGAGTTGATATGTAGCTCTGATTTATGGATGTTTTAATCCACAGCTACTTTTCGTCTGACTATGTGGTGAATGTGCATTTCGTTCATGATCAGAAATCAGTTAGATTAAAGAATGGTTTTAGTTTGTAATCACAAACGCCGTAAAAAGGCTCTAATGTGTTTTCAAGACTCTGATGGGTCCAGGAATAAAAATATGAAATTGATTCACAGTGTCTGTGTTGTTTTATATTACAAATATTACATCCAAATTACATCGGAAACCGATAACACGAGTGATCCATCTTTTCCTGTGCTATTAAAGTATGATGGGTGTGTTTCTTATAAATTATAAAATTTCTTTATAATACATTATATTTAACATTAATTAATAATGTTCATTTAGCCATTCAGTAAAACAAAGATGTGTTAGACGTTTTCCCATTAAAAAAAAAATTGTGTTGGCTTTAAGTGGTGTGAGGCCACGCCTCCTACATTGTAACTGATACAGAGGCCACGCCTCCTTCACTGTAAGTGATATACACTAAAGCCACACCCCCTGTGTCAAGGTGGA